TAAACGCAGAGTGGGTGTACATTGATCACTGAACAGGCAAAGATCTTTAGATCTTCTGAATTAACAAATAATCTTTGCTATTAAATTAAATCTTTCAAAATAATTATTATAATCTTTTGATTAAACATAGACCAAGCAGGTTGGTGTATGAATTTATATCTATTATATTTATATATCCATATATAATCTCATTCGTCAATTTGTTTGATCTTAGGAATTAAAATATAAGCTGATAGCAACAGCCTTTAATTCCTATGTTTAGGTCATTAACCCTACAGTAACATTGAATCTCTGGTTTCGGTGTTTAACTGGCTTATGCAACATGTGGTGATCTCTCCTCACATCAGCATGGAGCCATAAAAACTCTTCCAGACAGAACATCACTTTATTTAGAAGTAGGGAATATAAAAACATATATGGAGTAAACTAAGGAAAGATGGGCAAAGCGGGCAGATCTAAAGGCTCCTTATGCTAAATAAATGGGACTTGTGGTATAGCTAGTTTGTGCTGACACGCAGCGGTCAGGGTTGTACAACAGCTCTTATCTATAGAGGGGAAGCCAACATACTCACACTGCTTGTAAACTTCATTGACATTTGAGAAATCATTGATGTCAGCGAGAAGTACGGTGGTTTTAACAAATGCCAGAAATAAAAGTAAACTGCATGAAGAACATCTGCAGAACAATGGCTTCTACACAGAGGATCGCCTCACCGTTCTCATAAGTGCATCCAGCCATTCGGAGGATCTCCCCCATGTTCACGAGAGCCTAGGAATAAAACACAACAGACTGTTGCAACACGTGGACCTGAACTTTGTCCCATGAAGAGCTAACATGATCCTGGTGACACTTTAAAGCCAAAGCACAGTCAGAGCAGCTGCTACGTACTTAGCGGATTATTTTGTTAATACGGCTGAATGTTTGGATAGTTTTACATCTGTGCAGAACAGCTGTTGTGTTGTTTTAGGTCATTCATTCACTCATCATTCATTGGTTTACTGTAAAGAATGTTTTCCCACACAGCTGCTGGTTAACACTGGTTATTAAAGTAAAGTCATGCTAAAAAAGTTACTTTCCAGAATACTAAAGTAACTATAGCCACATCTCAGGTGTGCGGGTGTGAAATCAGCAGATGGACGATGACACCTGTCTGGTTTGGGCCTGAACACCGCCTCCCACCAGCTGGCCACTGACCAGATCCATCCCCAGCTGTCCTGATACATACACGCTCCGATCAACCACCACTGCTTGGCTTAGAGACACAGACACAAAACAAGAGTTTTATTTAAAGGTCTAAATATACTGATCAGGTGAGCATGTCTGCTCAGCCAATCACAGGGCAGCGAGTCAATGCCCTTAGTCGTCTAGGTAGGTGCTTTACTGGACTCCAAACTGAACATCAGATGGAGAAAAACGTGACACTTCAGTAACTTAGTACTGGTTGAGTATTTCAGAACCTGCTGGTTTACTGGGATTTGAACCCAAAATAATCTGAAGGGTTTGTGGACGGCAGCAGGAGGTAGAGCGGGTTGTCCAGTAATCAGAAGGTTGCAGGTTCAATACCGGTTCCCTCCAGAGACTGCTGTTGTGTCTTTGGGCAAGACACTAAACCCACCTTGCCTACTAGTGGTGGTGGTGGTGGTGCCTGCCAGCGCGCCCCAGGCCAGCTGTGGCTAATCATCACCACCAGCGTGTGAATGGATGAACGAAAGATAGTTATGTGAAGCACCTTTGGGGGCTATTAGGGATGAGCGAGTACACCACTATCTGTATCTGTATCTGTATCTGTTCAACCATCTAAATTATCTGTATCTGTACTCGGAGTGGGCGTGGCCTAACCCGGAAGTGGGTGTAATTTAACCGGAAGTGGGTGTGGTTTACATCAATACGTTATTTTAAGTTTGATCAGAAGTTGCTATGTGTATTGTTTATTTGAAAACTGTTTACAGAGCAGCCTCAGAGTTTAGATTAAATGTTTTTGATCACAACAGTAAAGGAACTATTACAGAACAAGTTTTTCAATAAAATCAGAACATTAATATTTAAGTGCATGAATTAAGAGAGAGAGAGAGAAGAAAAGATCTTTTCTATAGCGCCTCTCAAGATAAAAATCACAGGGTGCTTCACAAAAACAAAACATGTAAAATAGAAAAAAGAATTTAGAAAATGATTAAATTAAAATGAGCAAAAAATAGACAATTGTGATTAAAAATGTAAAGAAAGAGAGAGAGAGTGAATAGGAAAGAGGGAGTGGATCCTCCTCAGGAAGAGGAGAGAGAGAGAGAGAGGGGGGAAAAAGAACCCCGACTGGAGCAGTGACATAAGAATTAAGTCACACAACGTTTTCCACAAATGCACACGCTCATTCGGAAATTCACACTCTTTGACTCATAAATATAATGTGAAAAAATAAGTCACGCAACATTTTCCACAAATGCACACGCTAATTCTGAAGTTCACACTCTGTGGTTCACAAATATTATTTGTAAGAACACTTGTAATATAAACTCACAGATCATACGAATTGCTGAACGTGCATTTACGAACAGCTTCTCATTTGTGAACCTTTCTGCGTTTGTGAGTGAAATCTGTGCGCTGAATTTTGAGACTCTCCTAACGTCGCAGATCAACAAACGTCACCATTGGCTAATGAATCTGTCAATCACATATATGATTCTGCCAGGGCTGTTTGCTTTCAGCCAATCATATGGCTCCTTATGTTACGGAACAGATCTGCTGTGCGCATAAGTCGGACACAATTTTCCTGCATGTGCAGCTCGGGGGTGACGATAGCTGAAGATATCGCGTTAGCGTTCACACTTGTTTAATTTTCTATTTTAATTCTGGTGCCTGTTAGCAGCTGAAACACATCATCACGTGCTTGTGGATATCAAATATTCTATATGAAGACATGACTGTAATAATAAGTGTAGCAGGATGAGGTAATCTGCTCCTGATTTTAATAAATAACACCTGGTATTAAAGTCAGGAGCAGATTACCTCATCCTGCTACATAAGTAAAGGTTAGCTTTAGTGTGCTCATAGAAAACATGACAAAAGAACACAAAACATATTTCTCTTTATGACCCATATAGTTGTCATCAACATAACATGATTTACAGAATACATGTGACCAACTAACTTCATGTTCTATCACTGGATGTTTGGATCATAGACTGTACATACTGGACAAAATGATTCCATAGGCTCCAATAACACGTTTTTTGTCCATATTGGGAGGTGGCCACCACCGCCATTTTGACCGTGTCACAGGTTCCGTCCAGCCCAGACAATTCCATAAAAGGGAAGAGAGGAGGAGCTGAGGGTGGGGCTGTAAGGCTGGGATCGACGGACGAACTAGCTACAAGCTAACCTGAAGCTAACCCTGGCTAACCCAAAGCTAACGCGGAGGTGGGAGCCGAGCTAACTGATGTAGCCACCTAGCTTCAACCCAACCGGAGCTAACTGTGGAACACCCATCGACCTGAATCTCACACGAAGTTTAGGTGGAGGTTTTCGGCGCCTGTTCGTGAAAAGTACCTGGATTTAAAAAGTATTAAATCGGTAAGTTTATAATTTATAATTTAACCATAACAGAAAGAACAGCGCGCCATGGTCTCCAGCCAGCAGAGGAGAGGATGGCGGTTTTTCAAACCCTCCCGGCCGGCGAGGAGAGCTCATTCCTGGGCTGGAGCCGGCCCTCAGCACCCCGCCACAGGGTCCAACAGATGCTGGCGGTGTTTGAAACCCTCCCAGCGGGACAGGGGAAGTCATTCTTGGGTCGGAGTCGGCTCGCAGCAGCGCGCCACGTTCTCCAGTCGAGGAAGGCTGTTTTTGAAACCCTTGCAGCGGGACAGGGGAACTCATTCTTGGGCGGGTCGGAGTCGGCCTGCAGCAGCGCGGTGTAGCCGTAGCCTACGTATTTTGTTATTTAAGTCGCTCCGGAGTATAAGTAGCAGGACCAGCCAGAATATGTAAAAAAGTGCGAGTTATAGTCCGGAAAATATGGCAGTTATTAGTATTCGAGCTAAATTAGCAGCCTAAATACATTTCATATATTTCCAAAACGTAATACTTGTTTGTATCTTGTACAGCCAACTAGCCTTTATTCTGGACTCAGTACAATTTACAAAAAGTAAAGAGACATTATACAGATGAAGTAAGCACAAGATAACTTACTGGAAGACACAGAATTATCATGAGAACCAGAACAAGAGAGCCTGATAACAGTCATGTGAAAATAACAGTTAAAAAGTATGTATGTGTAATAGAAATAAAAATATATTAGAAATAGTGTAACTCACTGTGTTCCAAACAATAAATCAGCCATAGCTGATTAGTAAATATGACATGAGGTCTGGGAGTTTTTAATTTTCATTCTTTTATTACATTTTTTTCTTAGATCTGTTACAAGGTCACTATGGCAACCTGTGTCTCCAACATCAGCTACACAACGCAGCAAGTGTAAGTTCCAAGTACCTGTCTTGACCACTTCATGTATGGTTTTGTACTTAAATGACAAACCTGTTATTTTTTTCTCCATAGCCATATGGATCATTGGTGACAGCTACGTGAGGCGTGGTGCCCAGAGAGCTGCAGAGACCCTCGGAGACAACCTTGGCCTCCCTGACGTCTGTGTCTCCTGGTTTGGTTGGGGCGGACCATCGACATACATGTGCCGACACTTTGCGCCCCGTTTTATAAAATGTAGTGTTAAAAATAAATGTTTTTGCTCAATTACTGGAATTTCTTTGGTTAAGACAAAAAAGTGAGGAATAATCATTTACAAGTTATTTGTACAACAGGCCCATTTTAAATCCCAACAGTTTCTTAGCAGACAATAGAAATGTGTTCTTTACTAACTTTACTTGGTATAAAAATCTTACTAAAATAGTGCCGTATTGCAAAACCCAATCATACTTGTTATGTAAACATTAGCTTTGTAGATATTTTTTACAGATGTATATTTGTGTGCAACAAAAACCAAACTTAAATAATTTGTCATTCTTTATTGAAAAACAACAAAATACAGGTATACAGAAGTGTGGGAAAATGATAATGTGAAAGTATTGCACTATAAATGTAATCCTATTCATCTTTAAAAAGAAAAACTCTAAAAATTTCCTGTACAGCAACATGACAGAAGAATGGTGGTCTGTCTGTCAGAATGTGCTTAACAGATTTGCTCTTTGAAGAGGAGTGTCATGTTTGGAGGAAGGTACTTAACCCAAGACATGCAGAATACAACACTGACCAAAAACTGATAGAAAAAATGATTTATTTATAAGGAGGAACTTAAGGTGCACAGATAAGTCTGTGGTTGGAAATGCAACAACAGCTCAGTGTCTGGAGGAGGGAGGACACAGGTGAGCATAGGTTCTGGTTTCAAAATCCATTGTAGGCAGGCAGAGGTGTTCAGCAGACTTACTGTGGTGGGTTTATCTGTTGGCTGGAGGAGGGAGAGGTAGAGAGCCGGGGGAAGCGCAGGAGAGGGAGCAGAGGTGGAGAGAAGCAGGGCGTCCTGGTGGCTGGGGCACTGGGTGAGATGAGAGGTGAGTTATGGAGGGTGGTGGTAAGGTCCGTGTGTTGAATATACAAATCCTGGTCCGTGTGTTGAATATCAGAATCCTGGAGTAGAGGTCAGTATCCAATGAGGTCGACAGGAATCCTGAAGAATGGTACATCCAATATAAGAGCAAAAACACTACGAAATAACATTAATCCTAGGAACACTAGAGGTAACACGAGTGGCTGGTTACTACCAAAACTGAGGCAATCTTCGGCGTCAAATTGTGTCCACCATCCACCTTAAATAGGAAAGCACCCCGCTGATTGCTGATCAGGAACAGCTGGGCCACTCCCTCTCCTGACAAGAGACTCACAGATGGTTAAGAGAACAGGAGTACTCACCCCGGCTCATGACAACGAGCCTTAATGTGTACGAGGTTCCCCTTGAGTAATATTGGTTTGGGTTATGTATCGCCACATCAGCATATAAATGCTGAACCAATCTGGAATAAAGACTGCTGATAGAGGATAAACAAGTAAATAAGAGAAAAATTAATACAACTAGCAAATCAACATAAAAACAGCAACCAGCAGCTGCACCTGTGAAGAAACATTTCTAAGAGTCATCAAGAAAACGTGGGATGAACAACTATAAACATGTAAACCATGAACCACAAACATCAACAAGCATGGGTTCGTGCGTGTGCTGGGATGTGAAGTGTTAGACCGGATCAGGTGCACTGTGGAATGGCCACAAGCACCAGAAAACCTTGCTACAGAGAACTCAGCAAGGCTGACACAGGTCATGGGCCACATGGCACAGGAATCACACAGCATTTCCACCTGAAACAGAATCATTAAAATTAGAATCAAATACAACAGTTGTTCAGTATGACATCAAATGGATTTTTAAAGAAGGCAATTGGACTTCTTTGGTTTCTTCAGGAGTTTCTTGAAAATTGAAAAGGAAGCTCCTGTTCTGGTAGTGCTCGGAAGGTCATTCCACATTTGTGGAACGATGCATGAGAAGAGTCTGGATTGTCCTGAGCGTGGTGTAGGCACTGCTAGCCGACCATCCTGTGATGACCGGAGCGGCCGGGCCGAGGCGTAAGCCTTTGCAAGAGGATTCAGGTAGATGGGAGCCGTACCATCTCAGACTTTGTATGCTAGCGTTAGCTATTTGAATTTGATGCGTGCTGCTAGCGGTAGCCAGTGGAGCTCAATGAACAGAGGGGTGACATGTGCTCTTTTTGGCTGATTGAAGACCAGATGCACCGCTGCGTTCTGGACCATTTGAAGAGGTCTCACAGTACAGCCTGGAAGACCAGTTAGAAGGGCATTGCAGTAATCGAGGCGGGAGATGACAGTAGATTGCACCAGGAGCTGGGTGGCATGTTGTGTTAGGTATGGCCTGATCTTTCGTATGTTATACAGCGCAAAGCGGCATGAACGGGCAACAGAGGCAACATGATCTTTAAAGGTCAGGTGTTCATCAATCACAACACCCAGATTTCGAACTGCCTTTGAAGGAGCCAGAGATAGGAAGTCATTTTGGATTGAGATATTGTGCTGTATGGATGGTTTTGCTGGGATGACAAGTAGTTCAGTTTTAGAGAGGTGGAGTTGGAGATGGTGGGATTTCATCCATTTAGATATGTCAGAGATACAGTTTGATATTCGTGCAGAGACAGTGTGGTCGTCCGGTGGAAATGACAGATAGAGCTGGGTGTCGTCTGCATTGGTAGGAGAAGCCATGTGATCGAATGATCTCACTCAGTGAGGTGGTGTATATGGCAAAGAGAAGAGGTCCTAGTACAGCTCCCTGGGGCACTCCTGTGGAAAGATGGTGCACGGTAGAGGATTGTCCAAGCCAAGATACACTGAATGATTGTCCTGTCAGGTACGATTCAAACCAGGCGTGTGCTTTCTCTGTGAAGCCCATGCTAGAGAATGTGGACAAAAGGAATATATATATATATATATATATATATATATATATATATATATATATATATATATATATATATATATATATATATATATATATATATGTGTTGTAAAGCTGTTGGGCTGGGTGTTGGGCTGCATGATGGCACAGTGGTTAGCACTGTTGCCTCGCAGCAAGGCGCTATATCAAATACAGGCCATTTATCATTTATCCCTTGTGCAATGAAATAACTTTGGTACGTTTCCAAGCACATGGCGCTTCACATGTGTTAAATGACATATTAACAATTGTTACAATGTTACAATTTAACATAAATCAGTTTTATGAAAGGTGTTACTAAACATGATTTAACCCTCTGGAGGCAGGCGACGTTTAGCAACGTTAAAACCTACCTGCCTGGTTACTCCACGTACGTATTCATGAGCATTGTTTAACTCAGAAGTTCCCCTGAAGGACTTAGTTGTTCGTCTTTTTATCAGAACTTATTTTGAGCCTGAGAGGGTTAATAATAATAATAATTAGTCTGTTATTTATTAGCTATAAGAAAGCAGAATTCAGATGTCATCTATCTGTCACGAACTCCTCCCGCTGACTTCATTTCCCATCATTCCTGCTACCAACGTGGCGGCTGACGTCATCACGCCGGCACTACTTAAGGAAGTGCCGGCGTTTCATTCATTACTCATTCATCGTTCTCACCAGACTTTGTATCGAGTTTCCAGGATTACCAGCCCTCAAACCCTCAATCTTGACCTACAGGACATAACCACCATCACTTCGCGTCTGGGCAACAGATCCTCTCAGTCACGCTTCAGCTCTGTCACCGAACCTGACAGGATGACTGAGTCCCAAGTTGACCCAGCGGAGTTCGCGCGTCTGCGTGTTGAAGTGGCTCAACATTGTGCAACCTTGGATCAGTAGATGGCAGAGATAAGCCAGCTCTGTGCTGAGATGAACCAGTTTCATGCCGTAGCTGATCGCCAAGCCACAAAGATTGAGTCACTCACCGGGCTAGTTCTCCAGCTGTCCACCGCTCTGCAACGACAGACCACATCCGTCACCGACAGGATGGAACCACGCCTCAGCCTTCCAGAGAAGTGGGACGGAACCAGAGGATCCCCGGAGGGCATGCTGGCGACCCTGGCCATGACTTTTGAGTGTCAGCCGGCTCGCTACCCCACATCCTGCTCTCGTGTCGCCCTGCTGACCTCACTGCTGACAGGTCGAGCAGGTGAATGGGCGGCGGCTCTTTACAATCAGAAATCTCCTGCCTGCAATGACTATGAGACTTTTGTAAAGGAGATGAAAAAGACATTTTTTCATCCCAGCAGCGAGGTCTCGGATGAGACTCGGCTGCTTCAGCTCCGTCAGGGCTCCCAGACGGCGGCTCAGTACACTTCTCGCTTACAGACGACAGACGCTCGGTTTAAGTGGGATGACGCCGCCCTAAAGGCCGTTTACCTGGAGGGATTGTCACTGAGAATCCGGGAGGGCATGATCGGGCACGAGGCCCCAACCTCCCTGGACCTGGCAGTGGATCTGGCTCTCCAACTGGACCTCTGCATCCTGAACCGGCCGAGCACCATGTCAGCTCCCGTACACACCAGGACGTCAACCCTCCGTCCGGCTCACCAACCGACGGAGGAGCCGATGCAGCTCGGACATCTTCCCCCTGAGGAACAGGCACAGCGCTATCAGGAGGGCAGATGCGCTTACTGTGGGGATTTAGGTCACCACCGTGGCACGTGCCCAAAACGCCCGGGAAACGGTCCCTCCGGGTCGGAGTAGGGGCTGTCCCGCCCGGAGTCTCCACTTTTCCGGCTCCACACCGAACCACTCTCCCGGTCTCCCTCCACCTGGACCAAGGCCCAACCAGACTGGAGGCTCTTTTAGACACTGGGGCTGCGGAGTGTTTTATCGATCACGGACTGGTTACTCAGCTCAAGATACCCCTCACCGCACTCGACCGACCCATTCCCGTGACCTCTGCGGACGGCCGGCCCATAATGCCGTACCCTCTCACCCACCGAACCCAGGGTCTCCACATGACTATTGGCCAACACCTGGAGACCCTCCACTTCCTGGTCATCCAGGCTCCATGCTCCTACGCCACTCATCCTGGGTCATTCCTGATTCTACCGTCGTGAGCCTCACATCTCCTGGTCCACCAGTAAGGTCCTGGCCTGGGGCACGGGTTGCCATAACCACCGGGGCTCCCCTGCACCTTGGACTGGAGTAGCCCCTCCCACAGACGTAGACCTGACGCTCGTCCCTCCTCAATACCACGACCTCGCTCAGGTCTTCGCTAAAGAATCCACTACCAGGTTACCTCCTCATCGACCCTATGACCTGCAGATCAGGCTCCAGCCCGACACCATCCCCCCTCGGGGTCGCCTGTTCTCCCTCTCTCCGCTGGAGACCCGAGCTACGGACAATTAAATAACTAATGCTCCCCAGAAGGGGTTCATCCGTCCCTCAACATCCCCCGGGGCCGCGGGGTTTTTCTTTGTAAAAATGAAGGAGGGAGATCTCCAGCCCTGTATTGACTATCGAGGGTTAAATAAAATAACGATCCGGGACCGTCACCCTCTCCCTCTCATGAGCACCGCCCTGGACGCCATCACACAAGCCGCTGTGTTTACTAAACTGGATCTGCGCAGCGCCTATAACCTCATCCGTATTAAGGAAGGTGAGGAGTGGAAGACTGCTTTTATCACGCCCACTGGCCACTATGAATATTTGGTGATGCCTTTTGGCCTCTGCAACAGCCCCGCCGTCTTCCAGCGGTTCATTACAGATGTGCTGAGAGACATGTTGGGCCGCTGGGTCTTTGTTTATCTACAGTTGTGGTCAGAGGTTTACATACACTTGTAAAAAATATAATATAATGGCTCTACTGAGTGTCCCGTTATTTCTAAAACTCTGATTTTTCTCTGATAGAGTGATTGGAACAGATACTTCTTTGTCACAAAAAACATTCATGAAGTTTGGTTCTTTAATGTCTTTATTATGGGTTAACAGAGAAAAGTGATTATATTTTTTACAACTGTATGTAAACCTCTGACCACAACTGTAGATGACATCCTCATCTACTCCCGCACGGCCGAAGAGCACATCCGGCATGTTTGAGCTGTTCTGTCCCGCCTCCTGGATCATGGACTGTACTGCAAACTGGAGAAGTGTGCGTTTCACCAGGAGTCCACCTCCTTCCTGGGTTTTACCATCTCCTCCCGGGGCCTGAAGATAGACCCTCAAAAGGTTCAGGCAGTAGCTCAGTGGTTTCTACCCACGACCCTGAAGCAGCTGCAAAACTTCCTGGGTTTCTCAAACTTTTACCGGAGGTTTATGCGCAACTTCAGTTCCCTCGCAGCGCCTCTGACCTCACTCACCAAAACCACCAATCAGCCTCGCCCTTTTCGCCTTACTCCAGAGGCTGTCCGTGCTTTCCATGAGCTGGTCGGACGTTTTACTAAGGAACCCATCCTTCTCCACCCGGACCAGACCTGGCCCTTCGTCGTGGAGGTGGACGCCTCTGATGTGGGAGCGGGGGCCATTCTCTCGCAATGGGGTCCAGACTCTAAGCTCCACCCATGCGCCTACTTCTCCCGGAAGTTTTCCCCCACACAGCAGAACTATGGGGTCGGCGACAGAGAGCTGCTGGCTATAAAATGGGCTCTGGAGGAATGGAGGCAGTGACTCTCGGGGACCACCGATCCCTTTCTGATCTGGACCGACCACCAGAATCTCATTCATCTACAGACTGTACGCCAACTCAACCCTCGTCAGGCTCGGTGGGCCCTCTTTTTTGAGCCGTACCACTCCCATATCGCCTACCGGCCCAGCTCCAAGAACCTCAAGGCGGACGCTGTCTCTCGGCGTTTCACACCAGATGCTAGCCCCCCGGAGCCTCGGACCATTCTACTGACTCAACGCTTCCTGGCCTCCCTCCAATGGCCGTTTGAGCAGTCCTTGCGGGCAGCACTTCCTGGTGATCCGGCGCCTCCGGAGACTCCACCGAACCGTCTCTACGTTCCAGTCTCCTGCCGACAAGAGGCACTCACGTGGGGGCATTGTTCACGGCTCGCGGGACATCAAGGACAAGCCCGTACCCTCCAGTTACTCCGTCGGGCTCTCTGGTGGCCTTCCATGAGGAAGGACGTCCGCGAGTTCACGGCTGCATGTGATGTGTGTGCTCGATCCAAGTCCTCCAACCGACCCGGCGCTGGAGAGTTACAGCCTCTCCCTGTGCCCAAGCGGCCGTGGTCACACATCAGGTTGGACTTTGTCACGGGACTGCCGGCTGTCGATCACCTGGACACCATATTGACTATCACAGACCGTTTCTCCAAGGCCGTGCACTTAGTGGCCCTGGCCGGCCTCCCCACTGCCAAGAGGACGGCCGAACTGCTCCTAGAACAGGTGGTGCGGCTCCATGGTTTCCCTCAGGACGTGGTTTCCGACCGAGGACCCCAGTTCGTCTCACGCTTCTGGAAAGTGTTCTGTCGCCTGGTCGGTGCTTCCACCAGCCTGTCCTCTGGGTACCGTCCGCAGACAAACGGTCAGACGGAGAGAGCTAACCAGCAGCTTGGACGCTACTTGCGCTGCTTCGCTTCGTCCCAGCTGACCACCTGGCCCCGCTTCCTCCTGTGGGCGGAGCTGTCACACAACCTCCAGACCTCCTCTGCCACGAGTATGTCTCCCTTCGAGACCTGTTATGGGTACCAGCCTCCTCTGTTCGACCATCAGGTGCCCGAGGTGGAGGTCCCTGCTGCCCAGACGCTGGTCCGCCGCTGTCGGCGCGCCTGGATCCAGGCCCGTGCGGCCATCACCCGGACCAACACAGAGTATACCCGTCAACATCGCCGCCGCCACCGGCCTGGCCCCGTCTTCCGGTCTGGCGACCAGGTGTGGCTCTCCTCCGCTAACCTGAGGATGCCGGCTGGCTCCCGGAAGCTCACTCCTCGCTTCCTGGGTCCGTTCCCTGTACTCAGGGTCATCAATCCAGTCACCTACCG